CCTGCAGTGCTGCCCACCTCTGCCATGGCTCCTCTCCCACTCCTGGTGTCTCCTGCAGGAAAACAAACCCCAGAACTGTTCTCTGCTCCACCACAGCTCAGGTGAGAGCCAGGACACCTCTCCCTTCTCCCTCATGCCACACCAAGCAGGGCTCCAGGGCTGCAGGTGCTGGGCACTGAGCAAGCCAGAACTCTGCCCCAGGGATTCAGCAGCAGCTGAGGGATCTGTGCTCACCAGCCTGTCCCTCCCTGCAGGGCCACCAGAGCACACCTGGTCCCCCAGGCCCCTTTGGATCTGCCTGCAGGGCTGTAAATCACAGCCCAGGGGGACAGAGTGGCTCTGGGGACAGGGAGGGAGTGAGGGCACGGAACATAAGGAGCAATGGCTGGATGCAAAATCCCTTTTTTTTTGGACCCTCTTACAAAATGAGAGCTGCTTTTCTGCCCTGATGGATCTAAGCTGCCAGATGCTGGTGCTGCTGAGGTGAAGGAAAACATCTGGAAGGAGCCAGCTGCAGGGTCACCCCTGGGCCAGCAGCTGCAAGTCAGCCCCCAGCCTGGTCTGCAGGGATTGGGGCAGCTTTTATTGCCCAGAACTGCTCTGGGACAGCCCCTATATCCCAGAGCTGGTTTTGGACAGCCTTTACTGCCCAAAACTGCTCTGGGACAGCCCTTATTGCCCAGAGCTGTTCTGGGACAGCCCTTACTGCCCAAAACTGTTCTGGGACAGCCCTTATTGCCCAGAACTGTTCTGGGACAGCCCTTAATGCCCAGAATTGTTTTTGGACAGCCCTTAATGCCCAAAACTGTTCTGGGACAGCCCTTATTGCCCAGAATTGTTTTTGGACAGCCCTTAATGCCCAAAACTGTTCTGGGACAGCCTTTAATGCCCGGAATTGTTTTTGGACAGCCCTTATTGCCCAGAGCTGCTCTGGGACAGCAGGGGCTGCCCCTGCATTTGGGGTCCTGCTGGCAGTTTGTTCCTTGGGGGAAATCAGCATCTTAGGGCACAATGGACAGCTCATTTCTGCCCTATGTCCTCCCCTGCCTGGCCAGCTCAGCTGGGTGTGATTCCCTTCCAAGCTGCACCACTGGGTTTGGGAAGCAGGTGGGAAGCTGCTGGGTGTCTCTCCTCACCTGTGGCATTTCCCAGTACAAGATTTAGGGCTACTGGCTCTCTCCAGTCACAGGGAAAAGCTGAGTGATGGGAGGATCCCCACAGTGCACCTGAAACCTGAACCAGCCCCTGGCTGGTCCCATTTCTCCTGCCTTCACCCTGCTGAGCTCATGGCTCCCATTTTCCTCCTCCTGCATCCTGACCCCACCTCCCACTGAGGGCTCCTGCCTTCCTTCCACTCAGGACACAGTGAAATCCCATGGGATTTAATCCATGTACATGATCCTGGAGCCTGCACCCAGACCATCCCTGCCCTTGGGAGCCTCTTCCTGAAGGTCTGAGGAAAAGACTACCCAAAATCACCCCTCTGAAGTCCTGCAGATGACCTGTGGTAGCAGGAGGAGCAGGAGCAGTGCTGGGCACAGCTCAGCATCCCCTGCTGAGGCTCTGGCCAGGGTCAGTGCTCAGCACTCGTGTGCAGCCTCTTGGTGGGTGATCAGGATGTGCCAGAGAGGACAGAAATGAAGTTGGCCTCTCTGGAATCACATGCAGCCCATCCCCACCAGAGAGCTGGCCTCAGGACAGGCCTAGAGATGGCAGCTTTTAGGTGAGCAGTTGGGATTTCAAGGCACAAGTCAGAGGTTTGGTGCTATTGGTGCAGCAGGGTGAGAGAACTCTTGTCAGAGGAGGCTCTCTGGGGTTCTGGTCCCTGTTATGCATTAATTGGGGGGCTGGGAAACAGCTTTTCCTTTGATTTGGTCAAAATTTCCTTTACAGGCTCTCCTTGCATAAAAATGTGCCAAACTCCTCCTTGGTTCCTTCTGCTGCAAGCTCTGAGTCTTGTTTGGCCTCTTTGGGGTGAGATTAAAGGGATTTTCCTCCTCCAGGGATGCCCTCCCATGGCACAGTCTCAAATGCTGCCATCACACCCCTCACCCACCTTCTGCCTCTCTTCCAATCTGGCCCTGCTGGGAAGTTCCAAACCACAAAAATCACAAAATCCCTTTTTTCCCTTCATCCTGCTCCAGGGTCCCCGTGGGGGCTGCGGGCTCAGGTGGCCCCAATTCCCCCCAGGGATTTGTCCCCTGTGCAGGGCCAGAGAGCCCCGGGTGCCAGGGCTGTGTCCAGTGCCTGTCCCGTGGCTGTGGCCCAGGGGGATGCTGAGAATGGCTCTTTGTTCCCTGGTCCTAATTGCTGGGCCCGGGCAGCTCGTTAAGGGCTCTGCCCTGTGCCCCGCAGTGCTGCAGCCCTGGGATGTGCCAGGGCTCAGCCTCTGAGGGCAGCTTTTGGGGGCACACATCAAAACCAGCTCGGGGTGCAGCCGCCTCAGCTCTTTACTCAGCCTGGGGGGCTCGGGGTGCCCAGGAAGGGGAGGGGGTTGTACATGGCCAGAGCCTCCCCTGCAAATGCTGGCCCCCAGAACAAACAGCCGGCAGAAATGTGATTTTTGGGAGGTGGGGACATCACCACAGCTCTGGGAGCACTGGAGGGCTCGGGGTTCGCTCTGAGCCCCGCACAGCCCCCGGAGGGATCCCCCCGGCTCCTTCCCCTGGCCCCCGAGCGCCCCGGGCACAGCCCAGCCCTGAGGACAGGCTGTGGGCTCCTCCATGGGGGGAGCTGGAATTTGCATTTGAAAGCAGCGGAGGAGCTGCTGCCGCTGCTGGGAGCGCTGGCCGGGTGCTGTCAATGGGAAACTGTTCTGTCTGAGCTGCCGGGGCCAAAAAATGTGAACTCTGCACATGGCTGGCCCCGCTCGGGGCAGCAGCGCTGGCTCCGCTCACGGCCATGGCGGGAGCTGCTTCTCCTCGCTGCCAACATTTTGGGGAAGATGGGGCGGATGGGGACGTGGAACAGGGGGGTTCTGCTCGCTGGGAGTGCTGTTCGTGCCCTCTGGTCCTTATCAGCACAGCCACCAGCTTGCCTTTGCTCTGGGAGCTGGGCTGAGCCCCGAGGCACTCGTGGCACCCAAAGCCCCCTTGAGTGAGCCTGGGGGGTGGCTGCCTGTCCCTGTCCCTGTCCCTGTCCCTGTCCCTGTCCCAGGGTCTGTGTCCCCATCCCAGTTTTGGGGTCTGTGTCACCATCCCAGTGTCTGTGTCCCCATCCCAGTCCCAGGGTCTGTGTTCCACTCCCAGGGTCTGTGTCCCTGTCCCAGGGTCCATGTCCCTGTCCCTGTTCTGGGGTCTGTGTCCCCATCCCAGGGTCTGTGTCCGAATCCCAGTGCCAGGGTCTGTGTCCCCATCCCAGGGTCTGTGTCCCACTCCCAGTGTCTGTGTCCCCATCCCAGGGTCTGTGTCCCAGTCCCAGTCCCCACCACCATGGATAATAAATGCTCCTTTTTTGCCTCTTTTCCCAACCTGTTTCCCACCATTCACCTTTCACAGCAGTGGGGTACCCTGTCCCCAGCACCCCACAGCCCATGGTGCCCCTCCTTCATCCTTCCCTGCAGCTCCCACAGGTGCTCTCAGTGGGGTGAGGCCTTTGGTCTCCCTGCATCTCCTTAAACTCTGTAGAAAATTAACCATCTCCTGTCCAGGGGGGGACAGAGGAGCAGGGGACACCCAGAGATGTTGTGGGGGCACCCGGGGGCACCTGGAAATGCTGTGGTGACACCCAGGGATGCTGTGGGAATGCCCAGAGATGCTGTGGGGGCACCCAAAGATGCTGTGGAGGCTCACACAGGAGTTATGGGGACACTCAGAAATGCTGTAGGTGCACATAGGAGCTGTGGGGTACCCAGAGATGTTGTGGGGCCACCCAAATATGCTGTAGGGGTGCACAAGGAGCTATGGGGACATCCAGGGATGCTGTGGGGCTTCCAAAGATGCTGTGGAGGTTCACACAGGAGTTATGGGGACACTCAGAAATGCTGTGGGGCACCCAAAGATGCTGTGGAGGCACACAGGATCTATGGGGACACCTGGAAATGCTATGGGGGCACCCAAAGATCTGTGGGAGTGCACACAGGAGCTGTGGGGGTACCCAGAGATGCTGTGGGGGCACACACAGGAGCTATGGAGGCACCTGGAAATGCTGTGGGGGCACCCAAAGATGCTGTGGGGGCACCCAGGAGCTATGGGGACACCCAGGGTTGCTGTGGGGACACCCAGAGATGCTGTGGGGGCACACAGGAGCTATGGGGACATCTGGAAATGCTGTGGGGCACCCAAAGATGCTATGGGGGTGCACACAGAATCTATGGGGACACCCAGGGATGCCATGGGGCCATGCAGGGAGCTGGGATGAGCTGGCCACAGCAGCTTGTCTCAGTGTGGTGTGAGCACAAATAAAACCCTGGAGAGGCTGCAGTGAGCTGGAAATAATGGCATTACGAGCGCTGCCTGGCTTCTCTTTGGGCTGTGTGAGGCTGCTCGGGGCCAGCTGAAGGGCTGCAGCACAGGGGCTTGAGCACCTCTGGGAGGTGACTGGGAAAGGACACGGTGGCACAAAGGTAGGGACAAGGTCCTGGAGGCTCACAGTGTGCATCCAGCCCTGCTTGGGAAAGCCCTGCTGGGCCTGCCTGGCCCAGCGTGGGCAGGAGGAACCTCTGGTGCAAGTGTGGGGGAACAGACAACTGGGGAAAGCTGTGTATTCTGATTTTAATTTTGATCTTGATTTTTGACTTTAATCCAAGTGATTAATCAGAAAGGACCTTCAGTTTGTCCAGTCTCAGAATTTCTAATTAAAATAGGGGGATTTTCTTTCAGTTTCACCTGTGTGTTATTTGAAAAATGCCTGAAAACTGGGGGGTCGGGTTCTGCAACAGAGCTGTTTAAAAAATTCAAAACATACAAAGCTTTGTTCAACCTCATGTGTGGTGTGCCCTCTGCTCTCCCCCCTCTGTCCCTGCCTTGCCCTGCTGTCCCAGGAGAGGCTGAGGGCTCACCATGCCGCTGGTGAAGAGGAACATCGAGCCCCGGCACCTGTGCCGGGGGGCCCTGCCCGATGGGGTGACCAGCGAGCTGGAATGTGTCACCAACAGCACCCTGGCTGCCATCATCAAACAGCTGGGCAGCCTCAGTAAGTCAGGCACTGCCACCTGGGGGGTGGCACTGGGGTGAGACAGGGATGGCAATGGGGTGGCACTGGGATGGCACTGAGATGGCACTGGGATGGTAATGGGATGGTAATGGGATAGCACTGGGATGGCACTGGGATGGCACTGGGATAACACTGGGATAGCACTGGGATGGCACTGGGATGGCACTGGGATAACACTGGGATAGCACTGGGGTAGCACTGGGATAACACTGGGATGGCACTGGGATGGCATGGGGATGGTAATGGGATAGCACTGGGATGGCACTGGGATAGCACTGGGATAACACTGGGATGGCACTGGGATGGCACTGGGATGGCACTGGGATAACACTGGGATAGCACTGGGATAGCACTGGGATGGCACAGGGATAGCACTGGGATAGCACTGGGATAACACTGGGATAGCACTGGGATAACACTGGGATGGCACAGGGATAGCACTGGGATAACACTGGGATAGCACTGGGATGGCACTGGATGCCAATGGGATGGCACTGGGATAACACTGGGATAGCACTGGGATAACACTGGGATGGCACTGGGATGGCACTGGGATGGCACTGGGATAACACTGGGATGGCACTGGGATAGCACTGGGATAGCACTGGGATAGCACTGGGATGGCACTGGGATAGCACTGGGATAGCACAGGGATAGCACTGGGATAGCACTGGGATGGCACTGGGATAGCACTGGGATAACACTGGGATAGCACTGGGATGGCACTGGGATAACACTGGGATGGCAATGGGATGGCACTGGGATAGCACTGGGATAGCACTGGGATGGCACTGGGATGGCACTGGGATAACACTGGGATGGTAATGGGATGGTAATGGGATTGTAATGGGATGGTAATGGGATAGCACTGGGATGGTAATAGGATGGTAATGGGATGGTAATGGGATGGCACTGGGATGGCACTGGGATGGTAATGGGATGGTAATGGGATGGTAATGGGATAGCACTGGGATAACACTGGAATGGCACTGGGATAGCACTGGGATGGCACTGGAATAGTACTGGGATAGCACTGGGATGGCACTGGATGCCAATGGGATGGCACTGGGATAACACTGGGATAGCACTGGGATAGCACTGGGATAACACTGGGATGGCACTGGGATGGCACAGGGATGGCACTGGGATAACACTGGGATAGCACTGGGATGGCACTGGGATGGCACTGGGATGGCACAGTCACTCCCACCAGTTCCAAACACAGAGAAACAAGGGTTATGTGAGAGCCATATGGGCTGGCCATATGAGTGAGATAATTCTCACTCCTAACTCAATTAGAATTATCCAGCTTGTTGGAAATAGGAGGATAGGAGGATACTCCTACTTTTTATTATTTTTTATTTTTTATTTAGATATATTTCTTGATATCATTTTATAAAATTAATTATTTATAGAATAAATAATTATTGTCATTATTAATTATTTTAAAATTATTTTATATCATGACATATTTATTATATTTTTATATATTTTTTATATATATGTTTGGGTTTTGGTTTTTTATAATTTTATATATATATAAAATAATATTTTTAAAGTGTATATATATATGTATATATAAAGTGTGTATATATATATATATATGTATATATATATATATATATAAAAGTTTGTATTTTGGTTGGGTTGTTTGCTTTTGGTTTTGGGTTTTTTTTTGTTTTGTTTTGGTTTTTTTGTTTTTGTTTTTGATTTTTTGGGGGTTTTTTGGCCAAGCTTGAAATGGGGACTTGGTGACATTTTGAGACCCATTTCCCTCCCACGGCTGGTCTGTGCAGTGGGGGATAGAAAGCCTTCAGGAGCCCCTTGCTTCTCCACTTGGCCAGAAATAGGAAGGCCAGGTGAAGATTTACAATACCCCAAGCTATTCTTTTACATTTGGAGCTTTTTGAGGAAGTGAGGTCTCTATCACAGGTCTAAACCCTCAGCTGTTTCCTGCCCTGGGACTGATCTCAGCAGGAAAGGGGCACATGAGAGCACTGCACACACCAGGGTGAAGCTTTAACAGGGGCAACCTATTTCATGCTGAATATCCACTTAAAATAGAGAGAGAAGCTATTCAGGGCCCCCCCTTTTTCACACACCTCCAGAAGCAGATTCTGCTCTAAAATGCTCCCAGAAAAATAAACCCAGGGTGTAGGGAGCTGCTGGAAGTGCAGTGGCTCACACGAGCAGCACCCACGTCTGCTCAGGCTTCCAGTCCAGGGAAAAAGGGAATCAAACATGACCAAGCTGGGGAGTGCTCTGAGGAGGTTCTGAAAGTGCCCTGATCTGGGGAACTGTCTGAGAGGTGGGACTGGAGGAAACCCTGAGGATCTGGGGGATGAGATGGGATGGGATGGGATGGGATGGGATGGGATGGGATGGGATGGGATGGGATGGGATGGGATGGGATGGGATGGGATGGGACAGGTGCTGTAGCCTACAGGTATCAGCAATGCTCTGCCAGACACCTCACTCAGCTCCATGATAGGAATAATCCTAATGAAAAGCTAAATAATCCTAAATAAATAACCCTAAATAAATAAGCTGCACTGAGATGCAGGAAAAAAACTGATAAAGTAAAACAAATTGTGGATCCTCTCTGCTGTGGCACTGTCCCCACTGCCCTGCTCTTGGCTTTCTACCTGGGCTGAATTTCCCCAGGTTTTGTTGTGGCATTTTTGGTCTTTTTATGGTTGATCTGTCCTGATGGATCCAAGGGCTCTTTGGGGCACTGTGAATGTTCTGTGCCCCGGTGGGTGCTGCTCTCACTGGAAAGGGGTGATCATTTGGGCTCCCCTGCCTCCTTGCAGCACTCTGGGAGAGGCTGAGGCTCAGCTCCCAGAGATCCAGGCTGGGGAGAGCACCCACGGAGCCAGGGGGGAGGTGGGAGCTCCAGGGGATGGGCTGAGCTTGGTGAGCACCAGCTGTGGTGACGGGCGCATTGTCCCCTGCCAGGCAGGCACGCAGAGGACATCTTTGGAGAGCTGTTCAATGAAGCCAACAGCTTCTACATGAGGATGAACTCACTGCAGGAGAGGGTGGACCTGCTGGTCATCAAGGTGACACAGCTGGACTCCACCGTGGAGGAAGGTGAGGGGCTGGGGCTGGTTTGGGGTGATGCTCTCAGGACTGGAGCCCCCCATCCTGTGCTCGGTGGGCTGAGGCCACCCCTGCATCCCTTGTCCTTCCTGTGCCCCCCAGTTTCTCTGCAGGACATCAACATGAGGAAAGCCTTCAAGAGCTCCACAGTGCAGAACCAGCAGGTGGTGTCCCGCAACTCCATCCCCAACCCGGTGATGGAGATGTACCAGCGCTGCGACAAGCCCCCGCCCCTCAACATCCTCACACCCTACAGGTACAGCTCTCCAAGGGGGTCCTTCCCATGAGGAGGATCAGGTGTGCCCCCATTTGTGTGCTGTGTGGGGCACTTGGGATGAGTGTCCACAGCCAGCAGGTGGTGGCTGCTGTGTTGGATGTGTCTGTGGTGGCGCAGCAGCTCATGGTCATGGTCAGCCCAAAGCCCTTGGGAAGGGGAACAGGGGGGTCTTCTCCTGTGGCTGGTAACCCTCCCTCTGCCCTTTGAACCCCCAGGGATGACAAGAAGGACGGCCTCAAATTCTACACTGACCCGTCCTACTTCTTCAACTTATGGAAGGAGAAGATGCTGCAGGCGACAGAAGACAAGAGGAAGGAGAAGCGCAGGCAGAAGGTGGGTGGGGGCAGCAGGGGGACAAGCAGGGGAGCTGGGGGTGCTCGGGACCTGGGGACAGCCACCTCCTGGTGCATCCTTCATCAGAAGGATGGGTGCATCTGGGCCAGGCTGGAGGTGGAGCCATGGCTTTGTGTCCCCCCAGGAGCAGCGGCTGGTGGAGGACTCCACCCGGGAGGTGAAGAAAGTGAGGAAAGCCCGCAACCGGCGCCTGGAGTGGAACATGATGGCGTATGATAAAGAGTTCCGGCCGGATAACAGGTTCTCACCATCCCCCTATCACATGGCATCATCGGAAGGATCACTGTCCCCAGATAATAGGCAGGTTCTACCTCCTACACCTTCAGCTCACGGCTCTCCTTTGCTTTGCTCTTCCTCTCCGTCATTGTGGGGGGTGTGGTCCCCACAGCGGGGTCGGGGTGTTCAGTTGTTAGCCTGTGGATAGTTGGATAGCCTGTTGTAGCTTCATGGATAGCTGGTGTCCCCAGGGTGTCATCCTGGAGCTCAGGAGGAGCCTTGGCACTGGGATAAAACTGGAGCACTTTACATTTCGCAGCTAAGGGAAGAGAGTGGTTCAGCTCTGTTGTGTCCTCCTCCCCTGTGCTCTCACTCTGCTGTCTTGTACATTGATATTTTCATGGCCTGTTCTCGTTTTGTTGTCTCAACCCCAAAACGCTCCCAAACCCACTCCCTGAGCCCCCTCAGGTGTACAACAGCCGCCTTCTCCCGTGCTGCAGGTCCTACGCGTCGGACGCTGCCGACCACTCGTACCCGGCCAGCCCCAACCACCCTGCCCAGCTGCTGGCCCCCGCTGCCCACCTGGCCCCGGCGGAGCACAAGGAGGGGCTGGCAGCCCCCACGCCCCCCGAGCACGGGTTCCGGCCCGCGGGCAGCCGGCAGAACAGCCTGACCCGCCTGCAGCAGCCCCACGCGCCGCCGCCCCCCGAGGCCGTGCTCAACGGGCCCAGACCCCACCTAGTCAAGGATTACGGGTAAAGCTTCAGCCTGCTCGCTGCTGGAGGGGTGTCCAAAGGGAAGGGGGGCTTGGTCGGGGTCTGACCCCACATTTCTGGGCTGATGGAGCAGGAGAGACCTGCCCTGCATGGTCCAAAACTGCTGGTGAGAGGCCAAATCAGTCAGGAGTGCTCTTGGGGTAATGTCATCCCAGATAAGGGGCTGGGATGGATGGAGGGTTTTTTGGGGTGTTGCCTGCTTTCCACCACTGCATTACCCATAACCCATCCAGCAGAGCTCCAGCACCCTTCTGACTCTGGGACAGAGCTTTCATTGGGGTTTGGAGCAAACCAAGACAGAGTGGAGCCAGCTGGGTGCTGGGACAGGTAATAGGAAATCCTTCAGCAGTGCTCTGGCAGCCAGGAGAGCCAGGTGTGCCCTCCAGGGCATCAGGCCCAGCATCACCAGCCAGGCAAGGCAGGAGATTGTCCTGCTCTGATCTGCACTGGAGCAGCCTCACCTTGAATACTGGGGGCAAGTTTGGGCACCACAATATAAAAAAGACATTGGAATGTTAGAGAGTGTCCAAAGGAGGCCATGAAGATGGTGAAGGGCTTTGAGGAGAAGCCGTGTGAGGAGTGGTTAAGGGTGTTTAGAGTGTCCAGCTGGAGGAGAGTGAGGGGAGGCATCATTGCAGTCCACAGTTTCCTGAGGGGAAGCAGAGGGGGAGATGCTGATCTCTTGTTAGTGGTCACCAGTGACAGGACCCTAGGGAATGGCCTGGAGCTGTGTCAGAGGAGGTTTAGGTTGGTTATCAGGAAAAGATTCTTCCCTCAGAGGGCCGTGGGCACTGAGCAGGCTCCCAGGGGAGTGGTGCCAGCACCAAACCTGCCGGAGCTCCAGGAACGTTTGGACGGAGCCCCCGGGGATGCCCAGGGTGGGATTGTTTGGGATGTTCCCGGAGCTGGACTGGACGATCCCTGGGCTCTGTGATTCCCGTGGCTCTGACGCTGTGCCCCCGTTGCAGGCCGCAGCCGGTGCCCATGGCCGAGTACTTCGTGCCGCCGGCCCCGCCGCCGCCGCCGCCCGTCATCCCGTCGGCTCAGACCGCCTTCGACAGCCCCATCTCGGCTCCCCCCGCGCTGGCCCCCGGCTCGGCCTCAGCCCCCAACTACGCCCCGTCCCCGCCTCCCGCGCCCCCCGGGCCCTACTCGGCCTCCCCGCCTCAGAGCGGGCCCATGGCACCCCCGGTGGCGCCGCCGCCGCCGCCGCCCGGGCCCCCGGCCGTGTCCGCCTCGCCCGCGCACTCCGCATCGCCGCCCGCGCCCGCCGAGCCCCGCAAGCCGCCGGTGCCGCTGATGCCCATGAGCGACGCCCGGAGCGACCTCCTGGCTGCCATCCGCAGGGGTGAGTGCGGGGACACGGCCCTGGCCGGGACACGGGTGACAAAGAACGGCTGGGTGGCACCGGTGACACCGGGGGTAAGATGAGTGCTTGGTGGGCAGGTGATGGGTGAGGATGGTGGGGCCTTGCCGGGGGAAGAAAGGCAGAGTAGATGCAATCTCCATGGCTGGAGGGGGAATGAAGCCCCGCAGATTGCTGGCAGCTCCCAGGCATGGAGCTGCCTTTATTCCCCCGGCGAGGTCCCACCATCCTCACCCATTCCCCTTCCTTTGGACACCCTGGCTTCCTCTCAGGCTGTAGTGGATGATGTGCTCCAAGGTCTCTCGCATTTCCTTTTCCTGCAAATCTTCAGGTCAAATGGTAAATTTAACCTTTCAGAAGGTTCAATATCTTCAGGCTGAGTGGAAGCAGAGGAGGAGCTTTATTCTATGATACAGCTTAGTATCATAGAATAGTCAGTAATCACAGATACTCATAAAATCCTAGCATGCTTTGGGTTGGAAGGGACCTTAAAGCTCACCCCATTCCACCCCCTGCCATGGCAGGGGCACCTCCCACTGTCACAGGCTGCTCCAAGCCCCAGTGTCTAGCCTGGCCTTGGATATTCCAGAGATCCAAAGCAGCCACAGCTGCTCTGGCAACCTGTGCCAGGGCCTGCCCACCCTCACAGGGAAAAATTTATTCCTGACATCCATTCTGGCCTACTCTCTCCCAGTTTACAACTATCCCCTCTTTTCCTACCAATCCTATCCCATCCTCTCACATAACTTTATAACCACCATGGCAGCCAACACTTTACAACTGGGTGCGTGCTGCACACTGGGTACACTCCCCCCCTGAAGCCTTCCCCCTTTCCTGTAGGAATCCAACTCCGGAAGGTGCAGGAGCAGTGGGAACAAGAGGCCAAGAAAGAGCCCGTGGGCAATGACGTGGCCACCATCCTGTCGCGCCGCATCGCCGTGGAGTACAGCGAGTCCGACGACGACTCGGAGCTGGACGAGAACGAGTGGTCGGACTGAGGGCCCCGGCTGGGCGGGCTCGGGCTCCTGCTCCCCTCCAGGTGTGTATGGGCACCTTCCCCAGGGGCTCCTGCTCCCTCCAGGTGTGTATGGGCACCTTCCCCAGGGGCTCCTGCTCCCTCCAGGTGTGTATGGGCACCTTCCCCAGGGGCTCCTGCTCCCTCCAGGTGTGTATGGGCACCTTCCCCAGGGGCTCCTGCTCCCTCCAGGTGTGTATGGGCACCTTCCCCAGGGGCTCCTGCTCCCTCCAGGTGTGTATGGGCACCTTCCCCAGCGTCGCTGCCCCGGTCAGGAGCTTTGCTTTTACACTATGTCCAAAACCCTTCGGGCAGCAGCAGCAGCAGCAGCACTGGTAGGACACACCTCGGAGGCAGTGAGAGCAGAAATTAGCAGCACCTTCACAGTTAATGACTTCCAAAATTCTCTGAAGGCAGGTTAATAGGATTACTCCAGATTTACACCTGGAGCAAGAGCGGAGACTGGCCCTGGGTGTGCTTTGTGAGAGGAGGGAGCCCCAGAGGCAGCAGTGCTTTTGCAGCTAAATGTTAATTGTGATAACGAGAAGCTCCTGGAGAAGAAGCCTTGTTTGCACAGCTGGTGCCACCACGGGAGCTCAGGGGTGGCCTTGTGGGCCTGGGGACACTGCTGCTGCTGGTTTTGGGGTCAGGCAGCTCCAAAGGCTGGGTGTGAGCAGGAGCCTCCTTCCCTACAGAGCAATGCACCACATTTAGTACCAGTTACACCTTTGTGTTGCTGCTCCCTGGAAAATCATGGAATGCTTTGGGTTGGAAGACACCTTTAGAGCCCATCTAGTCCAGCCAGAACTGGGACACCCTCCACTAGACCAGGTGGCATGAGCAGCCCAAGGTGTTGGTGACCTCAGCCTGTATCCACCCTCAGAGCTGGTTTTCTAGGAGCAAAGGGGGAAGGCAAGGCTGGAGTGGCTGGCAGGGAGATTCAGCCTTGTCTGGGCTTGTCCTGCCTTTTCCAGCAGGAGTAGAGGTGTCCAGGAAGCCCCCCCAAGCCCAGCTCTCCTTGGCCTTAGCATGGCACCATTTCAGTGGGATTTGGGAAAAGGTGAATCAGACAATCTGCTGCTTTCAGGTAAACTCTCAACTTGCACTTTGCAGCCCCACAAACTGTGCCTGTATAATTGGGATCAGCTCAGAGGCAGGCACTGATTCCCCCTGCCTGATCCTGCTCCTTCCCCTGCCCCAATTTTGGACACTGATGGAGGAGCTGGGTGACCAGCCCCTGTTTCAGCACTGAAAGTACATGTTTCCCATCAAAACAGAGCCTGATCCATGGAAGACTTCTCACAGAGCTACAAAGGGAGGAGGCACAGAGGAAGGCCGAGCAAAGGGGTGGGAAATACTGGAAATATCACAGGCAGGTGTGAAAACCTGCAGAGAGCTGGGAGAGGTTCCCCACCTGTGGAAAACAGGCCAGGCCCAGCTGTGGATTGGCCAGTGTAATGTCCCCAGACCCTCTCTTGTGTTCCCCTATACCACAAGTCCCTGAACAGGGGAAGCTGAGCTCTGTGCCCAGTTCCTGCCTCTCCCAGCAGCCCTGCAGGTGATGGCTGCTTCAGCAGGATTTTGGCTATGTAGAAGCAGCCAGACCTGCAAAAGAGGTGGGAGGATATGGCTGAGACCCAAATGCTGATGGTTAAATTCACAAAATCCTGGAATGGTTTGGGATAAAAAGGACCTTAAAGACATCTCATTCCAACCTCCTGCCAAGGGCACCTTCCACTAGAGCAGGTTGCTGATTTCCTGGGAAATGCTGGTGTTGGGCAATGTCCCAAACATCTGCTCATTTGCCCCCAGTGACAAACCCCTCATGGCCAGGTGAGGTGAATCCTCTGCCCAGCTGCTGGGAAATGCCACCAGGAGCTCTCCTTTCTCCTGAGAGGCACAAAATGGTCTCTTGGCCCTTGGATGTGACACACCTAGGCTGGGAGCTGCTGAGTGGGCTTGAGCAGGGGTGCAGAAGGGATTTGGGATGTGGGAGAGGGCAAGGCAAGAAGCAGCAGGATACAGGGAATAACTCATCTGCAAAACCCAAGGAGCAGGAGTGAGCAGAGGGTCAGGGAGACACCGTGCCAGGAAATTCCTGGTGCACACTGAGAGCTCTTGGTTCTGGTGTTGCCCCTCTGAGATGCAGGGAAATGGCTGCAGGAGCTTTTTGCAGAGCCCCTGCAATGCCCAGGAGCTGCTTTCCTTGGGAAGGCAGCTGGGGTTTGGCTGGAGCAGGTTCAGAAGGAGGCAGTGTAAAAATTCAGGGCAACGTTTAAGGTGGAGTTTCTGGTGGAGAGTTATTAACGTAGATACAATCACAAAACTGTGTGTAAGCAAAGAGAAATTTGGTTTATTTAGGTAATTTAGGAAGAGTAATAACCCTTTGTGAGAGAGAGAGAGAGAAAATAGCAGGGGTTGGTGGAGCTGCTCTTGTCTGTTCCAGAGGTGGAGGGGCTGCAGAGCCACTGTGGGGACCCAGCAGAGCTGAGGAGCCCCACTGGGCCTGGGAGGGGGCTCAGGGACACAGGGGACTCATCCCTGGCCTCTGTGGCTGTCCCAGACTGCAAAGCTGAGCCACTCCTGGTCTGTGGTAATTTCAGGGTCCCCAGGACGAAGGAGGAATTGAGAATCTGACTCCATGTTCTTAGAAGGCTGATTTATTATTTTATGTACTTATATTATATAAAAGAATGCTATACTAAAACTATACTAAAGAATAGAGAAAGGATACAGACAGAAGGTTTAACAAGATACTACTGAAAAACTCATGACCTCTTCCAGAGTCCCAACACAGCTGAACAGCGATTGGTTCATTGAGTAAAAACAATTCACATGTTGGATAAACAATCTCCAGACCCCATTCCAAAGCAGCAAAACACAGGAGAAGCAATCAGATAATTCTTGTTTTCATTTTTTCTCTGAGGCTTCTCATCTTCCCAGGAGAAGAAATGCTGGTGAAGGGATTTTTCAGAAAATGTGACAGTGGCACTGGTGGGAGCTGGAGAGCAGCCCAGGGCCCCTGAGAGATCCAGTCCCTCCTTTTCATGCCCCAGTTGCTCTGTGTGTGTCACATGGGCCTGTGGCAACTGGGGCAGGACTCTGTGGGTGTGTGGCAGTCAGGGCTGTCCCTGGGGCCTCCCATGGCCCTGTCACCCTGTGCTGGGGCTGGCACTGCCAGGATTGGTGTCTTGGCATGGAAAAGGGCCTGACAAGTGCTTGAAGGTTGGGAGGGACCCTAAAGGGCTTTAGGTCACTCAGGCCACACCTGCAGAGCAGATGCACAGCTGGCAGCCCCAGGGGGGCAGGAAAGGCTCACCCCCATTTCCTCACCTCTTTATGTTCTTACACCACAGCCCCACTGGTGTAAAACACCCATCCCAGCAGCCCCAGCATGGCCTCACCCGTCCTGCTCTGCTGAAGGAAACCCCCTGAGAGCACAAACCCAGCTCACATTCCCAGCTGCAAAGCCAGCCAGCAGCTCCATGGCTCCCAGCTGGTTGGGAACATCACCTTCCTCCTCTTCAGGGAGCAGAGCTGCCATGGACACCCTCCAGCTGTCCTGGTAGCAGGGGTGGGATCCCCCATCCTCAGCCCACAGAGGTGGAGCTGCTGGAGAAGTGACCTCAGGGAGGTTTGGGCACCATTTCTGGCCTGGCCATGGCACACCCAGCTCTTCCCAACCCTCCCAGCAGCACCAGGGATCATTCAGCTGGGAAAGGACCTCCAGGACCTCCAGGCTGGAGCATTAATGCCACAGTGCCATGAGAGCCAGCCCATCCCCAGTGCCTTCCCCTGAGGGACTCAGCTCCACCACCTTCATTTGGGGCAGAATCACCTGGTTTTTGCTCAGGTGACCTTTGCAGTCCAACAGAAGTGACACCAATTCCTTGGCTGCTCTGGGCTGTGCTGCTGGGACTGTGCCACACTAATTAACACTGTCTGTCTGTCCCACATGCTGCACACTCAGTGGTTTGTACATATGTGCCTATTTCTGTGCATGCTCCCCAAAGTAGGCCATGCTGAGTTACACAACCTGAAATGCTCAAATCCTCATGTGGGCTGATATAAAAGTGAATATTTAAGTATTTTATCTAGCTTGGTAGACATTAAAAAATACAATCCAGGTCACAGATGATTGAATTTCTCCTGTCTCAAGAGTGCCAGAATTGGGCTGAGGAGGTTCTCCTGTACATTAAGGTATCGTGTTCCCTGCTAAAATATAGCAGTGGCATTTCATTGCCAAAGGAGAATCACAGAGTGCCAAACATTTAATGAGTCCAACTGATCTCCTGAGAGCTCCTCTTTCCATTTTATCTGCTTCCCCCTACTTGCCAATTTATGGGCATAGATCAAAAATAATAAATATGGCTGTCAACAACAGGGGAAAATATCCTGTGTCCATACAAATGGGCTGGGCTGGAGTCAGTGGAACAGCAAATGAGTAAATCTTGGTTCTGCTTGGAGATGTCCATGGAAGCTGTCATCCTTGAGGTCCATCAGGAGCCTCTTGGACATCCCAGGTGAATCTGGAAAGGGACTTTACAGGGAGCACTGTGCCCGTGGCACAGCTGTGAAGCTACACCAGGAGTGAAGGCTGGTGCTGGGGGTTGGTGGAAGGCCTGCAGTGTTCACTCCTGGAATTGTCTCCCTGATTTGGAGTGGCCATGGAGCTGGCTGGTGGTGCTGGTGGCTCTCAGTGTCCTGCAGGAAGAAAGGATTGGGCAGTTTCTAATCTCCCACCCAGGGAAGAGACCTAGAGAGGAGCAATCCCCCATCCCACGAGGGCTCCTGCCTTTGCAGCTGTTTCATCTTGGGGAGGTTTTACTCCAGTGACAAACTTAGGGCTGAACTTGGCTTCTTCAGAGAGCTCTTTCCACAGAAGAGCCCTCAAATTTCCTCCCAGCCACTTTTCCACCCCTCTCTCCCTTCCCAGACACCCAACAGCCTGGGCAGAAGCTTTGCAGACTCCCCTGAGCCTGA